ACCTTTCCCTAGGTATCATGAACATTGGAGATTTGTTCTTCAGCGACTTGCCTTCCTTGCAGCTTTTGTGGTATACCTGGAAAGCGAATCCTTGGTTACACGTGAAGAGGTGGCAAAAATACTTGCCAGTATGTAATGTTTATTTATATATTTTCTATAGGCTACATGTGTGAGATTGTTGTAGATTAATTTTACTTTACACTTATGCAGTTGAAATCGACAGAGAAAAGGGCTTTCATTTGGATGTGGAAGACTATCTAGCAGGAGTTCTCATTTTGGCCAGTGAGCTGGTAGGTTTTTTTATTTTTCCTTTCAAGTTCATTCAGACTACCAATCTTATAACTTTTATCAATAATATTATACCTGTTACTGTATTTAAACATTAACTTAATATTAACATTAAGTTTAATATACTGTATTAATATAACATTAAGTTTAATATAAAGTTCAATCAATGACTGAAAATAAAAGAAATTTGCAGTGACAAATGAATCATTTTCGTTTAGTTTAATTTTTGTAATGACCTAATTATGCAAAAATTACTTTGTCCTTTTGTTTGAACATAAATGTGTGTCGGCAGTGTGTGTACACAACCACCCCATATATTATCCACATGAATCATAAGCAGTGTCTCAGAACAAGCCATTTGCAGTTTATATGCAATGCAAAGCATTATAGTGGATTTTGGTTGACCTTCTTGATGCGAAACAAATTAAAAGCACCTTGTACCTTTGGCATTTTTTTTTCTTCGTTTAGTCCAGGCTGGCAGTGAACAGCGTGACCGCAGGGGACTATGGACGTCCGCTTAGGATCTCAAACTTTATCAATGAACTTGACTCTGGCTTTCGCTTGCTCAATTTAAAAAACGACCCTCTACGCAAGCGCTATGACGGCCTCAAGTACGATGTGAAAAAGATAGAGGAGGTGGTGTACGACCTTTCCATCCGAGGCCTTGCCAAGGAGCAGGAGACTGGAGGAGAATGAGTAGAGCCGTGGCTGGGATTCTCCACGACTGGAGGAGGAGGAGGGATGGGATGAAGATTTTGAGGCCCTGGTATTTTTTTAAGCCACCTGCCTACCAGGAGAGAGATAAGTTCAGGTTTTAGTGGGGAAATCTTCTCTTTCTCACTTCTGTTCAGAGATGTTTTTATGTACAGATGCATTTGTTTGCTTGTTATTTTTGATTGGATGTTTTTTTGGTATTTTTTTACTAGTATTGATTGCTTTTGTCTCGGCCATTTATCCATTGTACAGTCAAACAAGAAAACATTGTTTTGGTGGAGATATTTAAGAATTAATAGAGAGAGAGGGAAACAATGGTAAATGCTGGTAGAAACAGAAGTTATGTGCTTGTGTTTGTTGTTTTCTTATCAGTAATGATGACATCAGGACACTTTCTTGATGTTGACCTAAACATATATTAGCCTACATACGAGACAAACTGATTCATTAGATTCGGTTTTCTACACTCATAGCACATTTCTTGAATGTAACTGACTAAATCACCTTAATTGTTTCTTGCTAAGGTGTACATTAAGGTAAAATTGATAAACCTGTGCCAAAATGTTAAGTTCCATACTGTAAAGACATCTTGAGTTTGTAGATCATCAGTTTCTTAAAGCACTGGATTTGGTGCCATATTTACACTAATGTATTTCTCCATTAAAGAGAGCATTCATCCAAGAATAAAAGTTCTGTCATCATTTACACACCCTCCTGTCGCTGCAAACCTGAATGACTAACTTTTGCAGAACACTGAAGATCATGTTGAATATTTTTTGTCCATACAAAGTCAAAATGTTCTAAGTTTTGGACTCCACTGACTTTCACTATATGATCAAAAACAGTGCAATCGAAATATCTTTTGTGATGAACAGACAGAAGTCCTACAGGTTTGGAACAGCATGAGGATGAGTAAATGATAACAGAATTTTCATTTTTGGATGAATAAGTTCAAAGAGATTTCTTGCTGTATATTTTTGACCACCTGCTTATCATTTTTACTTTTCATTTCATATGTTCCTTTCCCTGTTCTGGCTCTTATGTTGTTCTGGATGTTGTGGCATGCTAAACTCCACCTGCAGATAGTGTCGTATCTGGAAGAGCCTTGGGAAAATAATAATTGTAATAGTACAATACAACTTTCAAGCAAATGTTTTAAAGTGCAACCTGACAGTGCATTTGTTTTCCTTTGTAAATATTTATGGAAATTATTTTCCTCCCTATTTTGTTTGTGGATTCTCAGTGCTGCTCTGCGTTGAGTTCTTTGGGTGCATGTTTTACTTAAAATAGTTCCTAGTAATTTTCACCAAGGACGCTTTGTATTCTTATTGTTTCTCTAAGCTCAAAGATAGATTTCTATCTGACAGTATTAGCATTTGAAATGTCTGTTCATGTGGTGGTTCAACTGGGAAATCATTTGCTTGTTCAGTAATGCTGTGTAATAAAGATTGTCATTGGGAATAATGAGTTAGTTGAGAGAGATGGATACTTGTCATTTTTAATTGTAATTCACAATATTTTACACAACAAAAAATAAAAATATTAAATTAGGATTTTTAAGAATGGAAAAAGAATTTAACAGCTTGATTGGTCTCAGTTAAAAGTAACATCTCTGGCAGCCTCTTTTAAATGTGTAATGTGGAAGCTATGGTATTTCTAACAGTATCAATGCCGTTGGAAAACAGTAAATAT